ACACACACACACACACACACACACACACACACACACACACGCGCGCACATGTTTACATGGAAGTAACAGGAGCGACAATCGAAGGAATCCGGGATGGACCACTGGGTTTGCAGGACCTGGCGCGCACTGCGCCCCCGATGAATCGGCACGAGCAATGGAAGTGCGATCGGCCCTTCCACCCTTCCTACCTTCCCCCTAGGTTCTCGGCTCGTCGTTTTTCAATTTTTTTATTTTTGATTTTCTGCTTTTTTTTATTGATTTTATTTTTATTATTATTATTATTATTATTATTATTATTATTATTATTATTATTATTTTTATATTTCTGTTTGATTCGATACTAAAAAGTGGAATAAGCGGGCCAGGGCGTTACCCCGCCAATTCAACCCCCCTCTACGATAGGATCAACTGAGAGCATACGGAGGGAGCAACTCACTCTCGGGGTATGACGAACACAAGAACGCGTAGCATGTAGGGCCGTCCTTAGCCTTTCTCTTGCCCCTTTCCTTTCCTTCCCCTTCCCTTCCTTTGCTTTCTACCCTTACTTCTGCTAACCCCCTCTTCCTTTCCTTTTCCCATTTTTTTCTTCTTCGTTGTTTGGTTTTCATTCCTTGTTTTGTTGTTTACTCTTTACTTTGCTTTTTCAGAGGTACTGCGCAACCATAGGATCGAGGCACTTAACGGATGGATGGGCAGGATAGCCTCGGATGCAAGTTTGTTGTTCCTTGCTTGATACCGTGACTATGTTAGAATAGAACGCAGACGCTTTATTCATCGTAGCACCGTGCGGTAGTCACTTCTTACACACTGGTTGTGCGCGGCCTGTTTCGGTTTTGCGCGGTGTGCGGGCTGAGCCTTGTGGCGGGCGGGATGGACTTCTTCGCCGACTGGGACCTGGAGGAGGAGCAGCAGGAACTCGAGGAAGTGGTAACGTCCCTACCGTACGGCGGACTTCCGATCGGACCTTCGCAGCCCCGCACCTAAGCAGGCTCGGCCAAACACCATGCAGTCCGCCTCCACGTGCCCTGCCACGCCTTCTGCGCATCACCCGTGCCACTGCGCTAGCGGCACTGTCCTTTCGCTCTTTCTCCTCCTCGGGTTGCTCCCGAATCTCGCCATAGCCAGCGCATTGCTCATCGCCTACCTCTCCGAACAGGTTTTTCTGCGCCTTCCTGCCAAACGCTTCGCGCTGCTGATCGGAAGTACTATCGGCTTCCTGTCGCTCTTCCTTGCATGCTGCTGCTGCCTCTTCTTTGAGCTCGGCGCGACACGGAGGCGTCCGAATTAGACAGGGCATAGCTTCGCGGAGCCGAGGCAATGGAGCATAGGCCGGCAGCCGAGACTTCGTCTTGTGCTTTTTTAGCATTTCTCTCCTTCCTCTCCTTCCTCTCCTTCCTCTACTTCATCCACTCCCTTCCCTATCCCTCGCCGCATGAACCCTTCTCCCCCCTCCCGCCTCCCCTTCCCCCGAAAAAACTCCCTCCTCGTCCTCGAAACCAACCTTCATCCCTAAACCATCGCACCCCCCCTCGCTCCCCCTCCTCCCCATCGCCTTTCAAAGACCATGGAAGATGTCCCCCCCTCTGATGACGCCCCACGTGGCATGGGGCAGAAAAGCGCTTCAGGGCTTTGCCACGCCATTCCCATAGTCTCGGCGAGATGATCCGCGCGGATACAGGAGCGTCTCGGATCTGGAGGATAGAGCTGAGGCGGGATTATCCCTTCCTTCTCCTTCCCCTTCCCTCCCTCCGCACACATACCCCACCAACCGCTTCCCGCCCTCGTCCTTTTCCTCCTTTCCCTCCTCCCCATCCTTCGTTTCGGATTGACGACACTATCACGGAAGACTATGTTTTTTTACGCATAATGAGTTTGCTCGATCTTTTGGTCACAGTATACTGTGGTTGTTCTACTCGCGCCCTTTGCCCGTATGATGTATAGTCAACATTTCACTCTTATCTCGCCTCTTCACTCCTTCCTTCAGTCTATCTTACCTCCCCCTTTTCCGATCGCTTTTTTAGTCTCTCTCTCCTTTCCCTTTCTCAACAGTTCACTGTCTATTTTTTCTGGCTTCTCTATTTTTTTCTTTCCTCTTCTCTTCTTTTCTTCTTTTCTGTGTTATTTCTCTTTCTCCTTTTCCCTTCCGCTCGTCCTCTCTGTCTCTCCGTCTCTCCTTCTTCCCCTTCCCTTCGTTCTCTACGCTCGGTTATTTATTGAAGAGTCGTGTATTAATGCAATGATTGTCACTAGGTCTATGCTCTCACTCACCATTGGGGTTGAATGGATCTATTTAGCGGATCCTGTATTTCTGATTATGGTTTGTGTCACTAGTACGATGCTCGCTCACCATGGATGACGAATGGATTCGTGTTTTTCTGTTATAATCGTATTGTGTTTTCTGTCATTCGATCCATGCTCGCACACCTTAGATGATGGATGAACATTTCTTTTGGATCTTGTACTTCTGCTATCGCATTGTGCTCTTGTCGCATTTTGCTCTTATGTCGTTTCTGGAAGTTTTGGATCGGCTGACGCATGGCAACCTTCCCCCGAACCCATATCCGTGTTCCACCACTTTCCCTTAAAATTGCGGTCTTCGACCATATTGGCCTTAGTTTCCCCATCGCAAATGGACGCATGAATGGTTTTACCCCGCCGCTGTGAGATCTTGCCCTTGCAGTATTTACCCTGCGCCTAGTGTGCCGGCGGAATGAAGCCGGAGCAGTGCGGGTATGACGTGTCGTACTCGTGCGAACCACATGTTGCACACACATGCAACACACACACACACACACACACACACACACACACACACACACACACACACACACACACACATACACACGCACATACATNACACGCACATACATTCTCCTGTCTATTGATGGGGAGCGCCACCTGTTGGAAACTAGGTCCAGCGTCCCATGAACATCGTCAATAAAGCACCAACCGGGACCGCACACGCACTCTCTTCGAGTTATATATAGCGAACATGATAAAACATACATATAGCATAATCACTACCTTACCCTTCCCAAACCACATAAACAAACGAACTACGGACTGCGCACCCGTGCCCTCACGGTAAGTCAATGGTACTACACCCAAAACTGTAGTGCAGTACTTCACCCCCACTAAAGTTATACAATCCGTCCTCTTTCCACCTAACCCTACACTTCACCCCACACAAAACGAGAGGGAAATGGGACTTGAAATTTGCGCCAGGACCAAAGCAGGTGAAAACAGGGGGGGAGAGAAACCGAGCAGGGGCCATGAAACCAACGTGCAATGAGCAAGCCGCCCAACTCAGTTGGTCAGGCATGCACGTGGCATTCAGGAGGTCATGGGTTCAATCCCCATTGACCACCGTGGCACTCTTGGTGCTAGGCAACTGAGATAGTTGGGTAAACTAACTTAACGCAAGGGGCCTAGATCAGTTGGTTAGGCATGTAAGTGGCATTCAGGAGGTCATTGGTTCAATCCCCACTGACCACTTGCCTCAGTCTTGGTGCCAACCAATTGAGATAGTTGGTTTGCTCTCTCCATTCAGTAATGGTAGGGTCTTTGGCCATCATGGGTGTGCGTGTGAGTGTGTGTGGGTTGTTTGTGGTGTGTGGGAGAGTGTCGGCCATAGACACTGTTGTTACTCGACGGGGGCGGGGGAAGTAGATGGGAGGTGCAACTACTGGCAAAATGCTCGGTCTTTAAGTTAGCCCGCCCCCTCCACCGGCGGCCCAACCGTACTCCCTGACCACCACCTGTTAGGGCGGGGGCCAACATGCATCCCCTTAATTATGAGAGGTAGCTATGCTTGCAGTGGTCCTCTGTATAGGCTTAGGACTAGTGGTAGGTAGGTAGTGAAAGGTGAAATTGAGAAAAAAAAAGGAAACCAACCTGCAACAACTCACTCGTGCCATTTTTTAGACGAAGTGTAGTGACTTGGGACAGGTGAATTGAAAAATCGGACCATTTGCTTGGACCCTTTTTTTTTTTTTTTTTTTTTTTACTTGATCTATGTTTTTTTGTCGCATTTTCGAAAGGGCGAGAACCCTAATCATGTCTGGAACGTGGAAAATGTAGTGCATTGTGAAACGGTGCAAAAAGTGAAGTATAGTGATGTCAAGTGAGACCCTAAGGATACAGGCCTTTGATCTTGGTTATCTATGGTCAACAATTTTTCCCTTAACTGGGTGTTCGGTTCTATCTTCGTTGAAGGAGGGACAGTGGATTGGGGGATTCGGTAGGAGTGTCAGTTTCCAGGAAGGATCACTAGTTCTGGTCCCTCGAGTTAGGGGCAATAGTGGTTGAGTTTAGCTTAGGGCAGTTTTGTAACTCAATGCTTACTCTGTTCTATGTTCCTCTAAATTGTTTTGTCATGATAAGGGGGTTGCTCGCCTTAGAAGGGTGTATTCCTCATAAGTTGAGCATGGTAATACTCCCAGTAGTTATCAGGTAACTTGTGAGGACCCCGGCATCAACTGCTATTATGGATCCATCTGTAACAGGACATCCCATATTAATTAGGATTGAAAGACCATGATTTGGTCCTTTATCACATAAAGGGGAAAGCCCCAAGGAGGCGAAGACTTAAGACTAATTCAATTTTTACACCTTTTTTTTCTTTCCTAGTCCTACTTTACTTCAGGTCACTTGAGTTATTGAACGACAAGGCGTATACTTAGAATTCCTTATAGTGATTTAATAAGTTTGAGAGGGGGTAGCAGAGATAAGAGTGGGAGGGGGGTGAAAAATGTGAGAGAAGATAGCATTAACTGGGTGTTGATCTTTCGTCTTTCTTAATCTCAAGACTAGGTATCCATCCTGGATTTGGATTGTTACTTTTTTTTTTAATTTTAACAATCTCATTGCAAGTTGTAGATTGAAAGACATGTTTTTAGGAATGCAAGTCGGTGTTGACTTGGTTTAACTTTACAAAGTGGAGATGTCTGACCAATCGCATGGTAGTTAAAGAACTGTAACCGAAAAATAATTTGGCTCTCAGTTGAATAAGCGAGATAGTTTGCTAAATTTGCTAAAAACGATCGAGTGATAGGGTTTATGGTCACCGTTCGTGATGCTAGAGAGCTTGAAGTAATGCTTCTTCGTTTATTCTCTACTTGTTCTCCCTCTGGTTATCTTAGTTTTTTTTTCTTCGACGAAACCTTAGTGAGTAAGTTCGGACTTTAGACGCAAAGTCAGATGTAGTAGTTCAAAAAAAAAAAGTGGTGGATTCATTTTCTCGTTTCTTCTCTGATGTCTATGATATGATTAATTCGAATAAGCTGTGTTGCGATCCGTATGACACTGCGTACATGTACGACCGTATGAATTTGTACTCGTATCGTACTCTTACGGTGGCGATGTGGTACTTTTTTTTTTTTTTAAAGATGTTGGTTAGTGTCCATGCACCCTGTATATCTTAAATTGGCATGACAGACAAAGTTTTAAGGCTGACTTAAGGCTTATAGGGTGTTTGGCTTAGAAACCTAGGAAGATTTTCATGCCCGACACGGCCTGCCCGCCCGGGCACCAGAGCATGTTTTTTTTTTTTTTTGCTTTTCTGCGCTCTCCTAGAGCACCTCAAATCCGGGCTCTTTTCATTTTTTGAGAGTTGGCTGTCAATGGGGGGGAAGGGGGGTATAAATATATTTTGCCTTGGTGTTTTTTTTTTTTTTTTTTTTTTTTCTATCTCTGATTCGGTGAGGAATTTTGATGTGACCCTTAGCCAAAAGTTGATTGTATTGCAATTCTACACAACATATTTTATTTGTGGATTTTTTTTACTCTCGTTGTTTTTTTCCTTTTTTTTTTTTTTTTTTTTTTTTGCGCTGGGGCTGCCAGAAACCCTACCCACGGGTCATGCCCGGCCGAGCACCCGGGCGTGTATTCGGGCACAAGTTGGGTCCCCGGGCGCCTGGAAAAACAGCCTAGTTAGAAACATCATTGACCACTATTTTTTTATGGTTCTCTACAATTTTTTTATCGATTGGATATAGCCCCTTGACAAAAATGGTGGTCAAGGATGTTTCTAACTAAAAAAGAAAAGGATTTTTTTTTTTTCAAATGTGTTTGTGTGTGTGTGTTTTGTTTGTATCGTGTGTGTGTGTTCTGTTTGTATCGTGTGTGTCAGTACGTGTGTGTTCCTTCCAGTCACACATAGGCACACACAAACGCACACGCACACACACACACACACACACACACACACACAAACACACATATTCACACACACACACTCACACAGACACACACTCTCTCTCTCTCTCTCACACACACACACACACACATCTTGCCCCCGCATTATTGTTTTTTTAATTATCTTTTTTTTTTTCTCGTATTTTAATAAGAATGTGTGGTTGGTATTCAACTAATGTTACATCGTTTTTTTTCTTCATACTTCTTGATTTTTTTTCGAAAGATGTATGTACAAAACGTACATGGCCATGTAAAGGGTTCCGTACGTAAAGAATCCATACATTATACACGGAAAGGCCCTGTACGTGTATGCCCGATAACATAATGAACAAAGTTGTGACATGACCTAAATTGAGGAGAACGATAAAGTAAAACCGTGAACTTAAATTGCATATCTTGCTTTTTTCAGGCCAAGCAACCCATTCTTCCCGTCGTCCCCCCC